TTTCCATAAAGGAAAGTAACTGCCCCAGCGCTGGGGCATTGCGTATGCAGGCAGGCTGGGGCGTGCGCGGGCGCTAGGCGGTGAAGAGGGCACTGCGGTGGCAGTGGGCGCACGGCGGCCATACCGAGTGTCGGGTGGTGGCGATGGTGGTCTTCGGGTAGGCGCATGCAGAGGGGAGATGGGGGGTGATGAGGGGGGGGGGGGGGGGGGGGGGGGGGGGGGGGGGGGGGGGGAAGAGAGAGAGAGAGAGAGAGAGAGAGAGAGAGAGAGAGAGAACATATCTTATGTATGCTGGTGGTCGGCATTGGTGTTGACATCACGTACATTAGTCTTCGACTTCGATGTGATCATGTTACAAGAACGTTGACAGGCTAGATACGATGAGTAGGGTAGGCTGAGCGCTGGGCGCCAGAGAGAGAGAGAGAGAGAGAGAGAGAGAGAGAGAGAGAGAGAGAGAGAGAGAACATACCTTATGTATGCTGGTGGTCGACATTGGTGTTGACGTCACTTACATTAGTCTTCGACTTCGATGTGATCATGTTGGTTGGCATTGGTGTTGACGTCACGTACATTAGTCTTTGACTTCGATGTGATCATGTTACAAGAACGTTGACAGGCTAGATACGTTGAGTAGGATAGGCTCGGCGCTGGGCGCCAGACATTAAGTGCGACATTGGATACAGTGTTGGTGTGACCAGAGAGTGGCTACATTGACACGTGAGTTCATTGTATTACTCTTATTTGGATGGTATACTGGTGCATTGCTCTCCCTGCTTGGTTCATCAGTATCTGAGCTTCTTCGTGATTTTGCAACTTGGTCTTTTGTCTATCGCTCTCGCTCATATTCCTTGCAGATCTCTTTTTCTTCCATAATTTTGACCATCTCTCAGTCTATGCATGTCACCTTTGCGCAGGGCGGGATATCTAATCCCGCCTCCTGCTGCTCTTCCTCTTCCTCCTCCTCCTCCTCATCCTCCTCCACTTCCTCCACCTCCTCCTTCGTTTTCTCCGTTTCCTCCGCGTCCTCCGCTTCCTCACTGCTCCTCGTCCTCATGTTCGATCTCTTTTTTTCCCTTAATTTTGACCATCTCTTGATTTACGCGTGTCATCCTTGTGCAGGGGCATGTTAATTGTCTTTCTATCATTCCAACTATAAGGGATATCTCATCCCGCCTCCTGCTCCGCTTCCTCATCGTCCTCCTCCTCCTCCTCCACTTCCCGCACCTCCTCCTACGCTTTCTCCGCATCCTCCGCTTCCTCATCTCCTCCTCCTCCCCCTCCCACTCCTCCTCTTCCCGGTTCTCCTGCCGTTCCCGCTCCTCCAGCTCTCACTCTTCCTGCCATTCCCTCTCCTCCTCATCCCGCTCCTCTTTTCTGTCCCCCCACTTTTCCTCTACTCCTTGCTGCGATCTCTTCTTCCCCGCTTCCTCACCTCCTCATTGCGCTCTTCGTCCCGCTCCCGCTCCTCTCCTGACCTCCGTCTCCTCCTCGTCGTCCCAGTCCCGCTCCTCCTTCCACCCTCCCCATTCCTCCCTCTACGCCTTGCTCTGGTCTCCTCTTGCCTCCATCCTCCGCTTCTCCTCTTCCCTCCTCCTCTCGTATGCCCGATCATCATCATCGTTATCTTGATCGTCGTTTTGTACCGTCCCTCTCGTGTCATTGTCCTTTTCAACCTCCTCCTCCTCC